TAATTATATTAACAGTAGCTAGCTCTGTGGTAAGATTACAGTTGAACTGTATTTTCTTATGCTATTCTACATTTTCCAAATTATCCACTGACAAGGAGAAAATTCTGAGATGTTCTAAATTACAGCAGGCGGGAGGGCAGAAGGGAGAGACAGGTGAGGTTCACTGGTTAACAGGTGCTGGTGGTTCCGACCTGGTCCTTTTCTGGCTAGCATCTGGCTCAACAAACCCTTTCTTTCTGAGGAGCTTTAAGCTGTGAAAGTTTGTTTAGCGTATCTTGTCAGAAGCAGTATTCTACCTTCAAAGGAGCAGAAAAGGGTGCGTGTGGCACACACAGCAGTCACACTGTGGCTCATCGGGCCAAGATGAGGATCCTGTCATTGGCCTCTCTGAACCCTTGGATCGTGCGCCCTCACCTGGTGGCTGATGTGCATGCTTTACTAGGCCAGGGAGGGTAACCCTTCAACCGAAAATGCGTGAAGCCATCTAGAACATTTGGCATCTGTGCCATGGAAGGGGGTATCCTTCTCGTGTTGGGTACCATGTTTGACTGTCCATAAGAAGCTGCCCAGGGCCGGGGACACTGGTGCCAGGCAGGGGTTCCCTCATCTGAATGGTGAGTTACTGAGGGGACGCCCTCAAGTCGGGTTTATTATTATTCTGTTATTCACCAGTACCTGTTTGTTTTTGACTTATTTTTCTGAGGTAACTGAGCTTATAGTGACATCTTGTGGCCATTCTATGTAATTACAATCTGGATTTTCACTGTTGGTCGAACAATGCTATTAGCTTAGCTCTGGAATTACGTGACGGTGACTTTCACTCTGGAGAGACCACTGCTCCTTCTGGCCCTCTCATGGGTGTTTCCAGGCGGCTAGAAGCCTTTGCAGAAGAGTCTGGACTCACTGTCCAAGATATGTGGCTGTCTCATAGGGCCCCCAACAGAAAAACATTCCCCTACCCCCCGTTTCAGGATTAGAAGGAACATTTCTGGTGCGTCTGGGAGGTACAGCCCAGTACCTGGAGCCTGCCTGAATACCGTGTGGTGCTCAGGTCCCCCCGATACACGTATGCAGGCAGCCACTGATCGACTAGGAGACAGCTCCCATAAAAGCAGCAGTTTTCAGACCCAAAACGATTTCTTGGCCTCCGTGGATCAAGAACGAAACTTTTGAATCATGGGGAGTCAAAACTCCACACTCCCCCTTCCTTCACACACTTCAGGAACCCTGGCTGGTGTTGTACATATAAGAATTATGGGGCTAGATCGTGCCTGTTTTTGTCTAAAACGGTTGCCTAACTAAAGTTGACATGTCTTTGCAATTCCCTGAACAGGACACTTGTGATTTGACATAGTTAATCTTTTTACAATCTTATTAATTAGACTGTAAATTAGAGGTTAAACGCAGTGCAATTAAGATGGGTTTATTTTACACGGAAGCCCGGCTAGTTATATGTGCGCGCACTCTGGTCACACACTCTGGTCCCTCCTCCTGTGCCTTCTTAACGAAATGGACCGAGTTAGCCCAAATCACTTAAAACTCTCGGGGCCACTAAGTAAGTTTTAAGTCCACATCAAGGGCCTCCCTTAAAGAGAGAATTCCACACCTCTCAGGGACAACGGGGACAGGGACAGGGCGGAGATGCACTGACATGCAGAAGCTTCTAAAAGACAAACTGACTTTAAAACCGGCTCTAAAAGGATCCCTAGAGAAACTTAGGCCATCTGAGCAGGTGCTTCAAGGCTTCTCACTCTTTCTCCTGCCTGAATCCTGATGGCATATTCCAAAGAATTAAAAAACTCTATACTCAAAAATGTGGTAAAGGCAGAAGCTGGGTTTTCAGAGTTTAATCGCATTTTCAGCCTCCTGAACTGTGAGCCGCTCTCCCTGGTGCTGACGTGGTGGGAGGCCGCGGAGCTGCTGCTGCGTGAGGGGCGTTTCCCCTAAGCAGACCTTCTTCACCGGTTTCCTGGGAGGGGAGCAACTCGTGCTTGCTACCACCCAGGAAAGAGCCTTGTTCTCTGAGGAGGGGCTTTGCAGACGGTGCCCCAGGGTGGGCAGCTGGCGGAGATCGGCCCCTGTGTGCACTCGCTTTGCTGCAGGCTCTTCTATTTCCGTTCCTGACTCAGAAATCCTACAGACCGGCCGTCTGCGCTGGCCTCTGGCCTCTGCGGACGGATGGGCCTGTGGGTCTCACCAGACCCATGTCTATGTAAACACGCTTCACTGTGGGTCACGTGCACACGAGGTAAAAGCTATCATTGAGGGATGGTTTGAAGCCAAAGCCACAAACTGGTGGACAAAGGTCAAGTGTTTAAGAGTTGTTAGGACACTTGTCACCTTGAAAAAAAGAAGGCTCCCGTGATGGGATAAGTTGGTCACGGAACACCATAGACTGACATCAGGTGACTGCCAACCTCAAGAAAAATTTCTGTGCATAAAAGAACACTGTAAAATGGCACTCGACCCCCCACCCTGTGGCACATCCCCCCAAATGTTAGTCTGGCTCCAAGAGACCCAAGGCATAGCTAAATCCGTTAATATGCATGTAGTAAAAGCTTTTCTTTCATCTTGAGAGCTGGCTTTTTGATCTGTCATCTCTGAGGCACATCTATCGGGGTGCACGTGGCAGCTGGTCAGGTGGGCTGGGGACTCCTGTAGCTGGACCCAGCGGGACAGACACACGATTTGCGCTCCCTCCTTGGTGAAGCCATAAAAGGCTACTTGCTTACTTTTTAGTTGTCATTACAAGTTAAGACTTCTAAAGATTAGGAATTCTAACTAATATAAATAATGTGTTTTCAGTAAAAGAAGGTATACGGTATGGAATGTATTTTTGAGAAAATTTTAAAAAATGGTTTGTCCCAGTAAGTCGGTTATTTCTAAATGTATATGAATAGACAAGCTAAATTGGACAAGGAAAGTTGGAGGTTTGTGGGAAAAGAATCTTGAGAAAGAAACTTTGGTCAAGCTAAATAAGATTAAAATAAACTTGAGTAAAGAAATTTAAATATCAAAATTAAGCTGATACAATATTAGAATTAAGCTTTCTCTGTTAAAAAGACAGTTTTCCTGTACTATTGTTATATTCTTAATAAATTGTAAAAGGAAAGCAAAGATTTTACGTCTTATTGAAATTATTTCTCGGGCTCTGTATCATCAGGTCTTTGCTAAATTAAATTGTCTTAATAGTAAAAGAGATAAATTTTGCTTACAATTATTGAACTTGCTGTATTTGCCTGCAAAGTCTCCAACTGTCACCATGATTAAATAAGTACTGTTTCACAGTGACCTGTGATCTTATTTGATCAGGTGTTTTAAAACTTGATGTTTGACAAACTTCCCAAAAATTTAAATCTGAAAATTAACCGACAGAATCTTTGATACCTTTTAAACAAAATTTCTTCCTTCATAAAAGGGGAAAATTAAACCAATTAGGCCTATTTGAGATCCTAAAATTACATGGGAAGCATTGTCAAATCAAAAATAATTGTTGTATTTGTATGATTAAAATGACCGTTCTTGAAATTATATAAAATTTGTAAGAATCTACAACGTCCTAATATGTTTTTTCATTTGCATTTCTGGTTATCTTAAAGTGGTGTGTGTTGCAGAGAAAGGCAAATTTCTTTATGAGTAGAGCTGTAATCCGATCTTTAAGCATGTCGCTTTTAGTCTGTCATTTACAGAGGGTCGTTGTTTTACCCTGATGTCTTTGTGGTTTATCGTCAGAGAAATTCCTGGGAAAGGCATCTCCAAAAGAACGCTCTACGACCCGCTGGAAAGGTCCTTTCCAGGTACTTCTTGGACCTCGTCTGCGGCAGAGCTGAGGGACTGACTGCTGGATCCCTGTTTTTCACTTTAAAAAGCCTCCTCCACCTGAACGGTCCACCTGACCAGGAAGAGAAGCTGCTGACATCTCGAGGTAGACTGCTTCCTCCCAAGAGTCTAGCCCAGGTCTGTACACACCTTAAGTGTGGACTTTACTACGCGTGATTCTTATACTTCCTATTGTTTTATGTGTGTTTCTGTTTAAAGACACCCTATTTAATACATACTGCTGATTCATGAACACTGAATTCATGGCCACCAGCACTACAATGCCTAAGTGTAGCTGTCTAACACACCTGTCTTCTCCTTAAGACACGTCACGACAGCAACACCAGACAGAACTTCAGCACTGCACCTGGGGGCCGTTTCAAATAGTGGAATCGCTAACAAACGCACAAACATGTGAGAAACGTGACACTAAATAGACTCTGAAGGACACGCATTCACTCTGGGAGAGGAACCTGCAGGGCAGAGCACGACCTCATCAGACGTTAGGCGGAAATACGCCTGTCGCTGCTCTGAACCCATGTGCCGACACCCGCAAAAGCACCCCAAGTACTGATGGGGAGAGGGGGTGACGAGTACACGTTAGCTGGCAGGTGAATTCACAAACCCAGAAGCCACAAACACAGACGAGGACCAACTTTATATCACTGTAGCAAAACCTTTTCTGTTTAAAAGGAGAGTATCCCCATGGATTTTTTCAAATGGTTATTTTCAGACACTTTCTAAATCTTCATAAAATCCTTGTAAACACAGGTAAAGAGGCCTTGGAGAAAAGGAGATATTAAAAATAATCTGACTTTCAAAAGAATATTAAGGATGCTTTAATGCCTAAAATCAACTTTAAATCCAGAACAAAAACAAAACAAACTATCATCTGGAGAATGTATCTAGATTTGTCCTTCAAACACAATATTACCAAGTGCAAGCACGTGAGTGTTAACAATAAACAGTAAACGAGTGTTATGGTCCTGGGTGTTAACAGCCATCCTGGGCCTCAAACAAGTCCCTTAGTCCTGCATTTACATACAATTTAAGAGCGTTTTCAGAGGTCTGCAGATTCTCGGTTAAGACTCTAGACTCGGATCAGAAATCGCTACTCAATCCTGACAGTCATACTAGGTCAACTAAAAATAAAATGAACTCCGAAACGAATGATACTCCCCCTACTAAAAAGCCAGTAAATACTTACTGATAATCACCAACAAAAGGACAACAGCGACCAGAGCCACCACGGCTTTTATCTGCAACACAAAAAGGCGTAAGATCCTAATGTTAACCTTGACTTTACCCACGTGACTATCTCTTGTGCTATTTACCACATTATACTAACTCATCAACACACAGGCTCATCCCTTGAAAGGTCTTCAAATTTTTCTCATCTGAACTCGGTTATCTGCATCTTTTTTTGTTAATAATCCGAGTCCCCCAAATTTGCAGGTTTTTTCTTGCCTGGATTTTATTGTTCAAGGTTGTGCTGCACAGTAAACAAACCCATCGAAGCCTTCGTGGGCCTGGACATTTTTGTAAATCATTTATTTCTTGTACCAGGGAGAAAGTACAATACTTTTACCAACTCTGCTGAAAAGCGTCAGGGTGGGAAGAACGACACAGGCGCCCAGCACTAATGATGTGACGTGCACAGCAGAAGGTGGCATTTTTTTATAGTACTTATTGACGTCTATGAGAATTCTCTCCGTTTTTTCTCCCCTTACTTTCTTCTTGGCATTTTTTATCTCCGTTTGGAGGAAGAGAATGTAGGTTCCTCACAAATAACCTTATGTAATAAATAACTTGCTTAAGAACATACTGTCTGTCAGTTTCAGAGCTGAGAGGAGAAACCTTAAGATCAGTCCTTCGTCAGCGGCTTAATATTTTAAGTTCACATCATTTCCCTCTATAATATTGTCATATTTCTCATTTAATCCTAAAATGTATAAATTATAAATGAACTTGACTTTCCTGATGAATTCAAATGAAAGTCTTGTTTTCAAACATTTTGACAGATAATTCATTAAAGATGGTTCATTCAGAAAAAAAGATGTCCACTTATTATAAACATATCAAACATTCTGTATCACGAATAACAACCAGAAGTAGCCAATAAAACGTTTCTAAAATAGAACTACTGGTGACATTCTGGTGGCATTACATTCATGACAAGAACAAAGTGACCGAGAAAATATGGGGAAACTTTGCAATGTGGACACCAGGTATCTATTAAAATTATTAATTGTGATAACCAAAAAATGAAATAGACCAGATCGATCTAGAAGGCACATTTTCAGCAGGTGACTGGGTCCCCATCATACCACAAACTACAGTACTCTAGGGGTGACAAGGTGATGCGGAAAATGTATGGAAGCTTTGCTTCTTTTTTTAACCTGAAAGTAATTCCTAAAGTAATTTAGAATTTTGTGGTAATTTTTCAACTTTACCCAAAGCATACATCAATGAGCCCTGCTAATTTGTGCTAGGCTTAGAAGATTTAAATGGCAAAATCAATATCCATTTTAAAACACTTGGACAGTTTTCTGCCTTGGGTTTCTAACACTGGCCAGCAGAGGTTTACACCCCAAAACGGCAGCAATGTATCATCATGTCCAAAGCGCTTTTCCCAAACGACAGGGACAAACATCTGTCACCACTGAACACGGATGAGCCCCGGGGCCTCCTAGACACCTGAGAGGGGGCCGGTGATGCTCCCTCCCCACCCGCTGATAATTCTGTTCACTTACTTTTAAAGTCAAGTCTATTGAGATATATTTTACTAACATAAAATTCACCCTTTCAAATTTCATTTGGCTGGGTTTTGACACACACAGTTGTCACCCATGGGCCGCCATCACAGCTGAACGGAAGGCATTCCCAGCTCTCTGAAGAGTTCCTTCGTGCACTGCTGTGGTCGATGCCCGCCCCTCTACCCTTACCCACTGGCAACCTCGGATCTGGTTTCTGTCCCCATGTCCCTTTTCTTAGCCCTTCCTAAGTCAGCATTGTGAAGTCAATCCAGAACACGGTAGTGACATAGAGACTACTTAAAAATATTTTAAAATTAATTCAATTTTGCCCCTTAAAAGCATACTATTCCTCTGATCTGAATCCCATAAAGTACAAAATGAAAATCTGTAGATATGGCTAAGAAAAGCTAGGCAAAATGTATCATCTTTTTGTGGCCACGTGAATAGGTGTATGGGGAGAGGAGGTGAATGCTTCATGGAACTTTTGTTCTTCCAAAAACAGTCTATAAAATAGAAAGCTTCTATAGAATTAAAAAATTTAAAGAAAATAGAAGATTTATTATTTAAAGAATAAAGATTTTAAAATAGAAAACTTAAATTCTAGACAAGAGGAGCAATGAAACATGTTTCTTTCCTAAGTTCCCTTTCTGAAAGTAAGAGGTTTCAACAGGCAGACAAAATTAAGTAAATCCAAGGCAAATCTTGAAAGAAATCTTAGCATGTCAAAGTCAAATTTAGAGACTTACCGCTAAACCTGAAAATGAGAGACTAAAACAATGAGTTTATGTCTAAGATTTTCAACAAGCCCAAAATAACACACGGAATCAGGAGGAAAAAGAAAAGAAGTGCTTGCATGCTATGAAATATGTTATAAAATCTTAAAAGAAACATTTCCTGCTTAATGATGAGTAGTCATATTTGATTTAAGAAGTAAATTAATTTCTATAAAATGTTTTGCAGGAACATATTAGCATATAGCAATTCTCATTTTTTCCTCCTTGTCTAAAAATTTCTCTTTTATTTCTTATTTCTCTGGAATAACGAGTGATAGAGGGTTTTTTCTTAGCCACATCTGCCATAATGGATTCTGACATAAACTGCCTTTTTCCCCATTCGAAAAAAAAATGTTTTTTCTAGCTTCCATTCTATCTTTTTAATAGCTCTATGTAATGCTGTAGGCTGCTCCAAAAGGCACTAATAACAAATTATATGAAAAATTAATATTTCTTATAAGTTTAGAGGTAGCTAGATTAATAAAATGTAGATCACGTTCTATGAAGAAACCCATGAAAACATCCTTTTAGGCATTGCTGGATTCCTTTAATTATTTCTGTCCCAAAAGCTATTCATTCATTCGACAAACATTTACTGGGTTCCTACCCTCGCTGGGTTTAGGAGACGTAATAAAAAGCGAGACAGTCGCAGCCTCTGTCCTCACAGAGCTTACAGTCTAGAGGCCCTTTTTTCCTTCTTGTCTTTGAAGAGCACTGAGGTGCCGACCAACCGAGCTGGCGCCTTCTGAGTTACTCACTTTGCATCCACGCCACCACATTTGCCTCCGAAGCTGTTTGGATCTGTTGCTAAAAGCAGTTGCATTATCCGATAAGCTTTCTATATCACATAGAGGATGGAGAGAAGGATTAAACGACAGAACAGGATTCTTTTATCTAGTCACACAAAGACAAGAAAATATTAATTTCTACTTCTGCAAATTTATTCCCTTTTAAGCATGAAAACAACATCCTCCCTGTCTTCCACCCATAGCCTCTGGCATTCTGTATTGTAAAACAAAACAAAACAAAACCAAACCAACAAAAAAACCAAAAAGCAAAAAATGGCTGCAGGTCAGTTTGCTTAATTCATTTTGACAATAAGACAATAAGAAGTCTCCCCAGGGCCACAAGTCTTTCCAATAAACTTACAAATTCTGGTAAGAAAATACTCTTTAAAAACTCAAGTACTTGGCACAACTACAGAAAAAAATTCGTATGTGGAAAAGGTTAGATTCTTAGAAGACACCAAAAAGTGATTGATTTAGAAGCAAAACAATACAAGTTTTAAAAGTGGCTAAATAAGTTTTTTGGTTAAACAAGTCTGTCAAGGATTAATCAGATATTCAGCCTATCATCATTTAAACAATATCTGAGTGTCTAATATGTGCCAGGAACTGTTACAAGTATAAACACTAACATCTGTCAGTAAAGAAAGGTTACCAAGTTAGCAGAGAAAGCATAAGATAAAAATATTAGGGAAGTCTGAAATAAGTATTGAAAAGTAATGATTAAACTTCTTGAGATACAAAGCACGTCAACACAATAGGAACAAAGAAAAAGAACTCCACTCTAACTCTTCCACGCTAAATTTTTAAATGATCCATTCTCAACTGATTAATTAAAGAAATAATACAAAAATAAGATCATTCGAAGTAAAGGGAGCTAAGGTGAAAACATTCGAATCATAAAGTTAAGAACCAAATGCCATTTTCCTCAGCCAAGATTCCTAACCTTTGGCTTGATAAATGGGAGAAGTAAACTATTAAGACACAATCTCTAATGTCAAGAAATATATAAAATATCTGTACCTGATTTGTCCTGTAGTTCATCTAGTCTCTCCCCTCTTTCAATTACCTTTGTAATATTTTCTTGCATGACGTCAATAACTTCATCCACCTGATTCTGAACACTAGTTTAAAAAAAATTAAAAAATTCTTTTGAGAATTTCACAACTTTTGAAACTTTAACAGACATGATAGAAAAGAGCAAGTTCTTAGGATTCTTCAACCACAAAATGTTTTAAGTTTAAGGTATTGTAGCAATGTTCTTCCATTGGTGGGCTTGAGTACTCAGGCAGTTAAAGAAAACATGATAGAAATAAAAGTAATATTTAACTTAAAGATAGTTTATTTTTAAGACAGTTTCTGCAAATTAAAGATACTGTGAGAATGCTTAGTAACTGCAGAATTTAGTCAAATAGCTTGAAAATAATCAGCCGCATTGTCTCTTCAGTAGAGTGCTGAGGCATCACATAGACACAGCTGCCACCTACTTTTGCTGTACAGTTCACACACTAAAACTAACAAAGGATTTTGCCCAGGTATGTTAGAAACTTATGGAAAACATTCAGTTTCCAAAATGGAAGTGTGCGGTGAGTGCGGGCACTGACACTCGCTGGGTGTGACTGTGCTGGTCACTGGCTTTCTCTCAAACAGTGTTTACGACAGCGGGCAATGCCAGGACAGCTTCGGAAGCACACACGAAGATGCAGAGAGAGAAAGGTTTTTGCTCCTTGAAATAAAAACATGATTTCCTTCTTTCTATTAGGGGATGAGGGTCTGTACTATCCAAATTTCAGACTGTTCAATGAACATTTATTACAAATTCAAAAATTTAAAAATCACTTTTCGGCTTCCTCCCCTCACTCAGGAGCTCCCTCTACAGTACACACACACAGAAATGTTTACTGTTTTAAATATCTGGTTTTCCTCTGTTGCTCTAATCATTAGACAAAAACTACCTTAAATTAATTCACGAAATAAGTCATGCTACTGAAATGAAGGAGAAATAAAGTGAACTCATGGTTCTTACAGCACAGAAACTGTTTAAAATGCACTGGATTACTAGCAACTACGTGACTATTAAGTATATACACACGTTTTAAATAAATAAGGATATGTAATTGTTTCTAGTTGGGGAAGTGTATCAATTATCAATTATCATGTAGGGAGCTTTTAAAATTTTTTTTATAATACATGCCTCCCCTCTGCCGTCTACTCTACACTAACCCCCAAACTAATCCAGTGAGCTGGGGGGATGAGGCATGGACACGTGTAATCTTGAAGAGTTCTGTTCCTTCCTCATCATGTAGCTGTATTTTCGAAAAGTGCTTTAAAAACAAAGTGAAGGCAGGCCCGTTTAGACGTAGGTGAGTTCAGAAGTAGTATTCTCAGATTCAAGAAGCAATTGCCACGTTTGATGATAGTCACCTCGCTCTCATGTCAAAGCACACACTGATCACCCACACTTAAACTTCAGGGCTCATCACAGCCTCCTAGGTTCTGCGTCTCCCATGTAACAATCTCCTGAAGGATTTAAGACTGAAGTGCGACCGAGGTGGGACAGAATTCTCTTCTGCCCAAATAGATCAGAACGAGCCCCCAAGGATTTAAGACTGAAGTGCGACCGAGGTGGGACACACAGAATTCTCTTCTGCCCAAATAGATTGGAAAGAGCCCCTGAACCCCTAAAATGTCTTGTTGCAACTCTTGATCACCTAAGCAGAGAGGTAAAGATGTTCATCTTGTAAGAACAAATGGCACAAATACTTAAGCCACTAATCAATTTATTCAGTAAATTAACGAGAGCTTACTACGTACTCTCCTAGGCACTGGGAAAATACTACTAAACAAAATTTTGGCTACCAAACTACTCATTTTGCGTTTGACTAAACAGCTCTCATGGACCTGTCTGAATGTGCACTGAATGTGCCGCATTACCTTCTACAGAGTTATGAAACTCTGTTCTTTACCACAGCACGCTATTTTATTTGCAGCACTTAACACAAAGTGAAAGTATTTATTCATATGCTTGTTTCCTGGATGAGTGCAGAGACCTTGCCTATGTCGTTCCCTTTCGTAGCCCAGCACACGGTGCTTGCAGCACAGTGTGTATTCAATAAATATCTGCTGAATAATAAGTGAACGATTTGGGTGTAAGTACTGCAAAGCATACCCAGCCACCTGAGAAGGAAATATAAGGCAGTGAATGTAGATGTCTCCTTTTAATTATAATGAAAGCAGAGAAATTGTTTGATAAGGACCAATCTTGAATCTTCAGGTAGTTATTTTTCATCATATGCAAGAAATAAGAGTCTAGAGGAGGCAGCATAGGGTGGGAAAGGACAAAATGTCCTGCAGAAATCACACATAATTGGATTATAGCTATTATAGCTATTATAGTAATATACTTACACCACACATGCTTTTAAAGTAAAAACAAGACTTTCCAACTTCCGGCCAAAATGGCGGAGTAGGTAAATGCTGTGCTCACTGCCTCCAATGACCACGTTAAAATTACAACTACATCACTGAGAACTACCTGAAGACTAGCTAACAAGGAAGGGCAGAGAGGTGGAATGGGCAGGTCTCACGCCCATGGAGTGGCATTAAGAATCGGGAGGGATATCTTGGCTATGGCAGTGCCCCCCGATATTTTCACCCCCAAGGCAGCAGAATATACATTCTTTTCAAGTGTACATGGAACCTTTTCCAGGATAGATCACATGTTAAGCCACAAAACAAGTCTTAAATAAATTTAAGAAGACTGAAATCACATTGAGCACTTTCTCCAATTACAATGGTATAAAACTATACAACAATTACCAGAAGAAAACTGAAAAACATACAAACACATGGAAGCTGAATAACATGCTACTAAACAATGAATGGGTTAACAACAAGATCAAGGAAGAAATCAAAAGATACCTTGAAACAAATGAAAATGAAAACACGATAACCCAAAATCTATGAGACACAGGCAAAGCAGTCTGAGGGGAAAATTCATAGCAATACCTCAAGAAAAAAGGCTCGAACGATCTAACTTTATACCTAAAGAAATGAGAGAAGAAGAACAAACTCAAAGTGAGTAGAAAAAGGAAATAATAAAGGCCACTTTCTTACACCATATACAAGAATAAACTCAAAATGGATTAAAGACTTAAATGTAAGACCTGAAATCATAAAACTAGAAGAGAACACAGGCCGTAAACTCTTTGACATCACTCTTAGCAATATTTTTTTGGATATACTTCCTTGGGCAAGGGAAGCAAAAGAAAAAATACATGGGAATACATCAAATTAAAAAGATTTGAACAGCAAAGAAAACCAACAAAACGAAAAGATAACTTACTGAATGGGAGAAGATATTCACCAACAATACATCTGACAATGGGTTAACATCCAAAATGTATAAACAACTCATACAGCTTAACACCAAAAAAAAACAAAACAAAACAAAAAAACCTCCAGTTAAAAAATGGCAGAGGACCTGAAGAGACATTTCTCCAGAGAGGACACACAGATGGCCAGCAGATATTATGAAAAGATGTTCAACATCACTAATCATCAGGGAAATGCAAATTAAAACCACAATGAGATACTCCCTCACACCTGTCAGAATGTCCATCAAATAAATCAACAAACAAGTGTTGGCGAGGACGTGGAGAAAAGGGAGCCCTTGTGCACTGTTAATGGGATTGTAAACTGGTGCAGCCACTATGGGAAACAGTATGGAGGTTCCTCAAAATATTAATAGAACTACCATTATGACCCAGCAATTCCACTTCTGGTTATTTAGCCAAAGAAATCCAAAACACTAACTTGAAACATATACACCTCTGTGTTCACTGAGACATTATTTACAATAGTCAAGATATGGAAGCAACCCAAGTGTCCACCAGTAAACGAATGGATAAAGAAGATATGATAGTATACACACAATTAAATATCATTCAGCCATAAAAAAGAATGAAATCTTGCCATTTGCAGCAACACTGATAGACCTAGAAAGTGTTATGATAAATGAAGTATGTCAGAGAAAGACAAATACTATATGACTTCACTTATATGTAGAATCTAAATTACAAAAACAAAACAAACACTCACAGATACAGAGGACAAACCAATGGCTGCCAGGTGGGAGGAGGGGTGAGGGGATGGGTGACAAAGGGGAGGGGATTCGGAAGTACCCATGACCAGTTATGAGGACAGCCACGGGGATGTAGAGTGCGGCACAGGGACCACAGTCCGTCCTGCTGTTATAACTAGATCTACTGTGTTCACTTCGTAAGGTATATAAACGTCTAATCACTATGCTGCACACCTGAAACTAATAATACTGTATATCCGCTTAGTTGAAAAAAAAAAAACAAAAAAAACTTTCCTTAAAAATGATTGTACTCTTCTGCTCAAATAATTTGAGTAGATTCAACATGTGAAAAAAAAATTAATAAATGTAAATCAGGAAATTTAGTTCTCAAAAAAAAAAAAAAATAACTGAAGAAATAGTTAAGGTCCCAGAATTTACAAATAAGACTCCATGGATATAGGCAGATTGATTGGAACAGAACCCACAAAATTCCAGACTTATTCTTACTGAATTATCATAAACCTGAGGATATTACCTCAACAACATGACACATATATAATAAATCTCTATTGCTAATGGAAACTACCCAATATTCTAATTTTTCTACCATATGACTAATAAACAACTGTCACTTTCTCCTTAATGTATCACTATCCACTGGGGTGACACCCTTAATCCAGCTACTGTATAACCCTTAGTCAATCATGGAAAAATCTCATGATTGTGTTTCTACATTTCCAGGTGTTTCCATGCCCAGAAAACAACTTTTATAGAAGATTATCTCCACACATATATATTCCTTATAATTAAAAAAATTTTTCAATTGCGGTTGACATACCACATATTAGTTTCAGGTGGACAACACAGTGATTAGACAGTGACACACCTTATGAAGTGATTTTGGTTACTAAACTAATATCAGGGATTTGCCCAAGGGCCAGCTATGTGGCAGGTGGTCTCTACCTCTTGGGCCATTTTGGGCACACACACTAGAATCATGCCCTGCTCACATAAGCATTCACGAGGTGCGAATGAGGTTCAACTTACGTGGTTTGATGACTGACCACCTTCCAACTACGTCCGGAAAGCCTTCAGCTCCAGAGTAAGAACCATCATACTTACTCAGCAATTACTTACTGTCCTAAAATTCTATGATCGCCAGTTACTGTGGTAACTTACTGTGTGCATATACATTTATGTGTGTGTGCTTGGCAGTTAACGCAGACATACAGTCTGCAATGGCTACTCTGTGCACATGGCCGTGGTCGGGCAGACCAGTAGGAAAAACACAGCCTATGGACTGCCTCGGCCACACTCAGCCCTGGGCTGGCTCTGCTGAAGGGTACCAGGCAGGAAGCAAGCACACCAGCAGGTGTGTCAGCAGGGGAGCCCTCTTCCCTGGTAGCAGCTTAGGTCTGAGAGAGCAAGACCACATGGGCAGACACGGAGTCCATTTGGCTCAGCGTCAGGGAACAGCGTGGCCACGGCACCCTGCTGATCCTGACTGCTCTGTGACCCTCCCGGAACACAAGAAGATGACTGGCTTGTGAGGCCATCTCTCACTCACTTATCTCCCCTAGGAGACTGTCATGGCAGTCTCTTGTCACCTCCCAGGTTCTGGTGACGTGTGAGGCTTTCCGCAGGTGTGCCTGTGGACTATCAAACCACGTGTCTGCAGAGCGCAGAAGTGGCTCCTTGCTGACAGTACCCATGGCTCGTGCTGCAGACACACAGCCTCTTTTCGGTATCATCCCTTTGGGTGTGGATAGGAACCGAGGGAGGTGGCTCCTCTCCCTTTCACTGTCTGGATCTAAGTGGCTCACTACATCTTCATTGGCCAAACCAGAGGCTGGAGGCAGCAGAGACTCTCTCCTGCTGGCTTGGAAGAAGCACCATCAGTTCTACGGCTGCAAGGAAATGAAGTCTTTTGACACCTGCGTCTGGTTGTCACAGCCCTGGCAACACCGTGACTTCAGGCTTTTGGGACTCCGTGCAGACGGCCTACCTATAGTGACTAAACTTCTGAGCCGTGGAAAGCGTGGGATGATAAGTGTGTGTTGTTTTAGGCTGCTAAGTGCGGGGCAATTTGTTACACAGCAACAGAAAAAGAAAATGTCCCGTCTAGTACTTGACTCAATTTCAGAATCCATGAGCTATGATCAGCCTAAATGTGGACACATTTCTTCATACCAACAGCTACCTGACTAAGTCACAGTATCTCACCCAAACTTGCTGCCCCATTACAGTATCCTTCCTGCCATGTGTCACCTAATCCAGAATTAGGGCAACAATGACCACAACAATTACTGCTCCTGAGCACCTGATCCAGAGCCACTCAGTTCCTCTTCCATGGTGAGGCCAGTGTCCAGGGATACTGCCCTGCTCTACCCACTCCTTCCCCCTTCTTGTCAGGACTCACAGCCCTCTAAAGTTAGGTCAATCCACTGCAGCATTATCCATCATCTACCATCAGCAACTTGTGCAGAAAAAGCTTTAGACTGAAAATTAATTAGCCATAAAACTTAGATCAATATATAGATTAGGGTAATAGACATGAAAAAATTCTAGAAGTATACAAAAAGACAGCTGTACTTCAAGAAACTAAATATTATACTGCTTTTATTATCATTCTGAAAATGGGAATCAAGCGATAGATTTCAAACAAAAATAGACTTTGAGATTGTGCTAAACAAATGGATTTGCCAGAAGGCAATAAAGTCAAGAAAAGTCAATAACCAGAAATTCCATTTCCTTAGCTATAATTCAGAGGTAGCTTTGTGAAAATAAAAGAATTATTGGGTTTTTAAAACTCGGCAGTTATATTTTGCCTACATTAGGGCTTGGCAAATTTTGTCTCTAAGGGGCCAAGCAGGTAAGAGATATTTTAGATTTTGTGGGCCATCAGATCTCTGTCACGACTCCTCAAATCTGCCAGTGCAGTGGGAAAGCAGCCACAGACAGTAAGAAAACAGGCATGGCTGTGTTCCAACACAGCTTTATACACAAAAATAGGTGGCGGCCAGATATGGCTCATAGGCTGTAGTGTGCTCATCCCTGGTTCACACAGAAATATGATAATCATTTCAACAAATTAGTATCTCAGAAACTTACTGTTTAATTTTATCATTTCTAGGTCCAAACCTTGGTCCAGATGGTCCCCTTCTGAAAACAAAATACCAAGTGCATATTAAGGAGAGGATTATAGAAACAAAAACAGAAAACATTCAATCAGGCTGAATTCTGAACACGGATCAGTTAGCATAAGGAACCACATGTTACTGGTGCTGCTGGAACCCTGTCTGTACTGCACTGGTACTTGGTGCTGGCCGCAATCACCCTACTAGTGAATTTTATAACTTTCAGAGAAATGAGGGTTTATATAATCCCTAGTTACATGCAGGATGTCCTAATGATTAAACTTTGAAATACCATAATAACTAAAGTGCCAGTGAATAAAAACAGCTTTATGACTAATTATAGAACACTAAAAGTACAATTCATCTTAATTAGGGCTATAATGAAATGCTGATTACCAAGGATGAATAAAGAGAAAAATCTGTTCAAAACACTAAAATATTTAAAGTATATTTTTTAATTATTCATCTCAAACTTACCAATATGGCTAAAGGGAAATTCAAGAGTCTACGAAATATCAGCATGTCTCAAATTATTACTTCTCTATTACAGTTCATTGTGGTGTCACTTTAACCAATTATAATATTCTGGAAATAAAAAATGGTGGACATTTTAAGTAATTACCTTTCTTTTGATTAGAGAATAAGGTATAAACCACAAAACTCAAAAGAAAATAGGTTCTGTACCAATGAAACACGAACTCTCCACCCCTCTCTCCTCTTAGCCCTGGCGGCCTCCATCCTAACTGTGTCTCTGACTGACTACTTACACCCTGTGAAAGTGCAATCATGTAATATTTCTCCTTTTGTGACCAGCTTCTTTCACTCAGCATAATATCCTCAAGGTTCATTCATGTTGTAAGCAAGAGTCAGAATTTCCTTCCTTTTTAAGACTGAGAAACATCCCATTTTGTTTAGCCACTCATTAGTGATGAACACCTGGGTTGCTCCTAACTTTTGGCCATGCTGTGAACATGGGTGTTGATTAATTTTTTAAAAATTATTTCAAGAACTTTATTTGACTTGTCTCCCTTTGAACATGCAGACAGAACCGCAGCGAGTGGAAGCTGCGTTCTGAACAAGCATGTCAGTTTGCTGTCAGGTCCCCTGGAAGATGCGGAGCGGGTCGGGGAGTGGACCTCCAGTGGTAAACCGCTGTCCTGAGGAGCTAGTGTTTCCTACGAGGGTATTGAATTTGCATTCAGGCAGGTGTTTACTTAACCAAAGCATTTGGCTGTCTTTTCAATGTTGAGTCACCTTTTGACATGCGGTTATTGCTGTAGACTAAGGATTCTCACAGTTGTCGGCACTTTGTGACTATAGAAATCTTGTCACCTGCAGGAAGTTATCTTCCCACTTCACCTGATCTTCCTGCAAAAAAGGCTACTATTTCCTATTATTGGACCTGTTTCTTGCCTGTAGGCCGTTTTTGTCCATTGCTTCATGGTTGTCAATTACTTCTTATAAAATGTTTTTATTTGAGGAAAAAAGGCCTCTACAAAAAACTGCACAACATTACAACAAAGAGGGAGGTAAAAGTTTTCTCTCAGGCAACCCTCGCACATCAGTCTCTAGAGAAAACCCCTGTAACAATATGTCATCTTTCTTGACTTTTCAAATACAAACGGAGGCCTGTATGAGAGCGCTAATTCTAACTGCAAAGGATTGATCAGGTCATTTAATTTTGACAAAGTATCAAGGCAGTTCAAAGGGGGAAAGGATAATCTTTTCATTGAACGGTGGGGGAACAATTGGAACCCCCCCCAGTTACCCTTCACTTCTACCTCAGCCATATATAAAAATTAACTTAAAATGGATTACAGATGGAAATGTAAAAGCCAAAACTATAAGACTCCTACAAGAAAACATCGGAAAAAATTTTAGTGACCTTGGGTTTGGCAAAGATTTCTTAAATAAGCAAACATGATAAAAGAAAAAATTTAATAAATTAATTTCATCAAAATCAAAACTTTGATCATCAATAAGTACTGTTATGGAAAGACTGTTATTAACCAGGAGAAAATATCTGTAAAACATATATCTGACCACTTGTTATCTTGAATATATAAAGAACTCTTATAACCTAATAGACAAACTTATAACTGAGCAAAAGGCTTTAATATATAATTCATCAAAGAAGACATGAAGATGAAAAATATGCACAAAAAAAGATGTTCACTAAAATCTGTCATTAGGGAGATACAAATTAAAACAATAATGAGATACCACTACACACCCACAAGAATGGCTACAATTAAAGACTAACCACATAGTGCTGATGAGAATTTGGAGCAACTAGAACTCTCATACAGTGCTGGTGGGGATGCGAAATGGGACACCACTCTGGAAAATAGTTGTAAACATATACCAGCCATTCCACTCCCAAATATTGACCCATGAGAAATTAAAACGTATGTCCACACAAAAATCTGTAAGGAAATGTTTATAGCTGAAAACTAGAACTACCCCCAAATACCCATCAATAAGTGAATCGATGAATGAACTGTGGTGCATTCATACAACTGAATACTACTCAGAAATAAAAAGGAACAAACTATTGATGCATGCAGCAGCATGGATGAATCTCAAAATACTTATGCAGAGTGAATGAAGCCAATGAAAAAGGCATAATGTATAGTTTCATTTATAAAATAATTCTAGAAAATACAAACGATAGGCATAGAAAGCAGATCAGTGGTTGCCCGGGGACTGGGAGAATGACCAAGGGGCATAAGGAAACCTCTGAGGCCGTGGCTGTGTTCATTATTTGATTTTGGTGATGACTGCACAGGTGAACAGTATACACGTCAAAACTCACACTGTACACTTTACATGCATTTTATTATATGTCGATTAATCCCAATAAAGCTGTTAAAAAAATACTTACAGAAAAAAGTCCTCTTCTTCATCTGAATCATCTTCCAAAAGATTTCTCTGTCAAATAAAAAGAAAAAAAAGGAAAGGCGAGTTTTCGGATCCAGAGGGCTCACGAACCGTCGGGGAGGAGGAGTCGGGCGAGCTCTGTGCTGGGGGAGGGATGACGTGTGTGTCACAGGGAGCTCAAAGATACAGAGCCTCATTTGCAGACTTTCCACTGATAAAAGAAAATGCTATAAAACCAGAATCATATGACCGACCACGAGGCAGAAAGGTCACTGAAGCTGGTGTGGGAGCTGCGGGCAGTCAGGAAGGACCAAGTCCCCCCCTTCTTCCTGCCTTCCAGTCTCTCTTTCTTCGATATTCATTAAACGAACAGGCTTGAGCAGCTTCTATGTGCGAGGCACTGTGCTTTGAACAATACAGACAAGGTCTGAGCTCTCACAGAAAAATATCTGATGGTGATGAATGCTATGCAGAGAATTAAATTGGTAATGAGATAGAAAGTGACAGGGTGACTAATGAGATTAGGCTGTCATGGAAAATCACTCTCAAGAGGTGAAATTTAAGTTCAGATCCAAATGATAACAAAGAACCAACCAAACATCAGAATAAGAGCATTTACTGCCGGCAGAGACTGGCTACTGCAGAATAAGCCTAGTGTCTTAGTTATCATAATAAATGTGAACAGTTTGAGTTCTATTAAAAACAAAAACTATACGTAATTAGACTCAAAAAATTCCAGCCGATATCTGTTTACAAGAAATTCATCTAAAACAAATGTCGAAAAGATGGAAAAAAAAAGGAAAGACACATCAGCAAATTCTAAAAAAAGGTTAGAGTTAGCAACATTAATATAAAGGCATTAAATAATCCAATAAGATTTTACACTGATAAAATGCACAATCGACCAAGAAGATTTAACAGCAATGAATGTTTTTACATTAACAATATAGCTTCAAAATATATTAAGCAAACACTACTCAAAATACAAGAAACTGATATGTTCAAAATTATAGGGAAGATTTAGCATATCCTTCAGAGACAGACTAAGATGACAAAAAATACATAATATAGAACTTTGTACAGAGCAAATTTTATTTTCAATAATCCAAGAAATGGATAAGCCACAAGGGAATTTTAATAAATTCCCAAAACTACACAGGTCGCATTCTCCTACAAAATGCAATGGAAATTAAAAAACAAAAGGACATTTTAAAACACTTCTAATTTACATATTAAAATGTAAACGAAGCTTAAACTATTTAGAAATGAATGACTCTAGGAACGTTACAGAACAAAATTTGTAGAATATGTTCACAGTAGTACTTAAAGAAAAATGTGACAAATGTATTTATGAATTCACAAAGATTAAAAATATATGAAATAAGTATTTAACTTACCCACTCTTAAGGTGTGTAAATTATTCCTAAGCAACATAAAACCCCAAAAGTCTTAAAGTTAAAGATTAACGGATTTGATTGCATAAACATTCAAAACACGAAGAACACAAGACATTCATAAACGAGGTTAAATGGCAAGTAATAGATTGGGAAATAGAACTGCAACTTACTTTCACACCGAAAGTCTGATATATATTTTACATAAAGAGCTCTGAGAAACCAGTGAGAAAATGACGCACTGTGGAAAAGCATCAGCAGACAGGAAGGACAATTCCCAACAGAAGAAGAGCTGGCCAATGACCACATGAAAAGATGTCCAAAGTCAATAACATTCAGGGAGATGCTTTCATCGGTTCCTTCAACAAATATTTCTTGAACACTATTCTAGCTAATACGTAACAGATAATCAGTACGTTTATGGTAGTATTTGCTTTAGAGGTTGATGATACCGAAGATGAAATGTTTTTATTATATCTGTACAATGAAAAACACACATGAAAACCAGTGTTTTTACACGCATTCACCGAACGAACCAAGTCCTTGAAACGTAATATCGAAAAGGATAAGGGGACGCGATTCACCACTTCACACCCACTAGGCAGATGTTGGCGAGTGTTGGTGAGAAGCAGCTGGTGGTGGGGACGAACGTGGGGGAGCTGAGCAGCCACGTGCTGCCGGCAGGAATTTTTTTTCTTGGGAAAACGGCCTGGCATTTCTTCACAAGGTGGCACAGAGTGATTCTAGTAGTGAGATTCAGCAAGTCTGCTCCTAGGTACTTGCCAGAGAGAAAGGAAAACACGTTCGCATAAAAACCTGTACACGAACGCTCACAGCAGTGGTATTCACAGCGGCCAGGAGTGGCAACAACCCCAGATGTCTATCGACGGCTGAAGGGTAAATAAGATGTGGTTATTCGGGAATAAAAAGAAATGAAGTACTGAGCTATACTATGACGTGGAGGAACTCTGAAAACAGGCTGAGCCGAAGAAGCCAGCTACGAAAGACAACGTGGTACATGATTCCATTTGTAGAAAATGTCTCGATTAACAAATCTATAGATTTGTGGTCGCCTAGGCCTGAAGGGATGAGGAGCATGGAGGGTGACTGCTAAAAGGTACAGGGTGTCGTTCCGGAATGATGAAAATGTCCTGAAATGGATAGCGGCGATGGCTGCACGAGGCTGTGAATATGCTAAACCGAAAGACAACGTGGGACATGATTCCATTTATAGAAAATGTCTCGATTAACAAATCTATAGATTTGTGGTCGCCTAGGCCTGAAGGGATGAGGAGCATGGAGGGTGACTGCTAAAAGGTACAGGGTGTCGTTCCGGAATGATGAAAATGTCCTGAAATGGATGGTGGCGATGGCTGCACAAGGCTGTGAATATGCTAAACCCACTGAATTGTACACTTTAAATGAGTGAATTACATCTCAATAAAGCTGTTACCAGAAAAAAAGTTTAATAGGAAAGAGGAACAAAACTTTAAAAGTTTTAAAGTGATTTATAGATGATTAGGCATCTCCCCCACCTCGGTTAGGTCCCACTACAGTCATCCATTCAGTTATCAAATTTCACGCTCTGACAGACATTCAAAAGGTCTCTAGTGAAACAGTCAATTTTGCTCAATGTTAATGTCCAATATCCTATTTTTACAATAAAATATGGTAGTAGTCAATCAACAGAGTAAACACAAAGCTCCATAGTTAGTCTCAGTAGAAGAACTGATTGAGGCTGTATAGTTTATGTAAAGCTTAATTTATAAAAGCTTACTAGCAATCTGTCTATTGGTGGATTCTACCTCCCTTCAAGAAAAAAACCTGTAGAATTAGAAAAAGGAGAAGACAAATGTTTCCTGTATTGTATTAAAAGGTACTTGCAAATCTTAAGAGGTTAGCAGTTGGACAGAGCGGATGATACAAGGTTCTGAGGCTGTGCAAAGAAGAAGTATGTTAAATGAAGTCGAGCAGACTAGACGCTCCAGAGGGGCAGAGACCACGCCCTTTCGTTTTCAGCGCAATGCTCAGCACATAGTAGGTGGTCAATCAATATCTGTTGAATGAATCAGTAAATTAAGGACTAGCAAGAAGACAGGTGAGAGAGCTTCAGGTTGTGATAAAAAATAACACTGGGGCGACATAAGCACCATGGTGGAATGAGAAGACCCCTTTGTATCTTTCCTTAGACTTACAAGTCAGACAACTGTAATTCAACGAAGGATCCTCTGCGCAACACACAAACATGCCTGAGAAATCCACACATTGGTACATCTGATGGTGGGCGTACTAAGGGAGGCAGGATGGGAGTAAGGACAGGGATGGTGACTGCAGACGCAGTCTGGCACTGCTGCCACCCCAACTAACCCCCAGGTGGTGATGGAGGAATCGGGCTGCAGGCCTCACACCACAGCATGGGAGGTAAGAGGCAGATGCAGCCTGAGAAGTCAGTTCCTTCCTTCCCGCCCCCACCCAGGCCCCAATGCAGCAGAGCCTGGTGGCAATGGCTGAGCTGCTTTACACAGCACAGCAGTCCCAGTGGCCATTTCTAACAAGGAGGCAGCGTCACGGACTTGTGAACCCACTTCCCTTCCCCACGCACTGTGGTGGGACCTGGCAGAGGCAGGCGAGATGCCTCGAATAGCACAGCGGGGCTGGCGCTGTTCGTAACGAGAACACAGCACTGGCAGCCTGCAAAACCAGTTCCCTGCCGCCCGCCACATGCCCACCATAGTGCCCTGGGACCAAGGAAACTTGGACACAAAAGGGATCACGCCGGTGGGTACGTGGTATTTTCTATGACTAAAGTGACAACAACCCTACCACAATCCTGGAGGCACAGGTAAGAGAAAACAGAAACTTGTGCTATAGCACCATCTACTGGAAAACAAAAGAAAGACTTCTACTTATCAACGGCTGACCTGTTAAGAGCAAAACAGTATCCAAATGAAAACAGTATCTGAAGGAGAAAAGAGTTCACTACCTCAAATGCGCAGGCAGGAAAACAACCCAACAAGTACCATGAATAACCAAGGTAACATGGTAGCACAGAAAGAAAGTGAAGTCTCCAGAAACCGTATTCAAAGCCACGGAAGATTGTGATTTGAATAACAGAGGATTCAAGATTATCATTCATGAAGAAACTGGAGATACAAGAAAACTCAGAAAGACAGTTTAATGAGCTAAGGAAGAAAAGCGAATAAAAGGAGTACTTTAACAAAGAGACTGAAACTGTAATAAAAACCAAACAAATTCTGGAGCCGAAGAACTCAATAAATGAGATGAAGAATGCGTTAAAGAGCATTGGAAATAGAGCAGACTAGATGGGAGAAAAAAAATTAGTGAGCTCAAAGATAGAAACCTAGAAATAATTCAGGTGGAAGGAGAGAGAACTAAGTTAAAAAAAATTGAAAGAAATTTATGAGAATTATGTGACTCCATTAGAAACAGCAATGTAAGGAAAATGGGTATACCAGAAGGAGAAGAGAGGGAGACGGGAAGAGAGAGCCTACTCAAAGAAATAATGAGAACTTCTCAAGCGTATGGAAGGAGGTGGCCATTCAAATACAAGAAGCTAACAGAACACCTTATTATTTCAACACAATAAGACTTTCTCTAAGACATAGTATATTACAACTGTCAAAAGTTAATGATAAAAATTCCCAAGGCAACCAGGGAAAGACTGTCACCTACAAAGGAAACTCCATCAGATTATCATCAGATTTTTCAGGAGAACCCTATAAGTCAGGAGACAGTGGGCTGATATATTCAAAATATTGAAAGAAAGAAACCGCCAGCCAAGAATAGTATATCCAACAAACATCCTTTAGGTATAAGGAGAAACAAATGCTTTCCCAAAAAAACCTACATAAAAAACTCCACACACACACACAAATAAACAAAAACAAAAGCTGTGGGAATTTACCCATCCTGCACTACAAGAAATGTGGAAAGGAGCTCTTTTACCAGAGACAAAAAGAAAACAGTATACAAAACTTTGAGTAAGATGACAGAAGCATGAAACTGCAACTCTGTTTCAGAATAGGGTATTAAACTCTTAATTACAACATAAAGGTTAAAGAGGGGAAAGTATGAAAAAGTAACTTATTCATACTATAATTACTGTAATTTGGTAACCAACGCACAACATAAAAAGGGATAATTTGTGACAACAAAAACATAAAAGGGGAGGAGGGAAAGGACTGGACTTGTACAGGTGAATGAAGATAAGATGTAATCAGAAGAAAAAGGACTATGAGACATTTTATACAAACCTAATGGTAACCACAAGACAAAAATCCAGAACTGAGATACCAAACATAAAAATGGAAACAGTAGGAAAAAAACACAGAAAACCAAATTAAAAGAGTAGACAGAGACACAAAGGAGAAGAAATAATGGGGGACACAGAGCAACCGGAAAACAAAAGATGAAATGGCTGTGGTAAGTCCTCATACAGCTATAATCGCACTAAATGTAAGTGGACTGAGCTCACCACTCGAAAGGCACAGAGGAGCAGGAGGAATTAAAAAATAAGATCCAACGATATCTTGCCTTGAGAAGACCCATCACAGCTCCAAAGGGAAACAGAGGCTCAGAGTGAGGGGTAGAAGGCGATGATACTCCAAGCAAATGGCAACCAGAGAAAAGGGGATGTAGCCATACTTATGTCGGACAAAACAGATTTCAAGACAAAAAAGGTGGCAAGAGACAAAGATGGACATTTTGTAATGATAAAGGGAACAATTCATCAAGAAGATTTAATACTTATTAATATATATGCACCCAACCTGAGAACACCAAAATACATAAAACAATTATTAACAGATCAAAAGGAGGAATTTGACAAAAGTACAATAATAGTAGAGGACTTTTAATGTCCCGCTTACAGTAATGATTAGATCATCTGGACAGAAAGTCAACAAGGAAATACTGGCCTTAAAGGACACATTGGATCAGATAGACTTAATTGACATTTATAGAACTTTCCATCCCAAAACAGGACAGAGAATACACCTTCTTCTCATGTGCATGTGGAACATTCTTAAGGCTAGACCAAATGTTGGGACATGAAACAAGTCTCAGTAAATTTATGAACCAGGCATATTTTCTGACCACAGATAATGGTATAAAAAATGGTATAAAACTGGAACTCTAGAGTATATAGATGTCAAATTATAAAACTGTACATCTGAAATTTATAAAATGTTATTAACCAATGTTAATAAAATGTTATTAACCGATGTTAATAAATTAAAAAAAAGAATAACACTAATACCTTCTCTCAAAAAATATTTAATGCTTATTGTAAAAGTAACCTATCTACAATGTTCATATCAAATGTTGTCTTCCAAAATGGGGCATAATTTCTCAATTTGTACATATCTACACAGAATGTTCTAGAATAAATTAGAAATTGAATATTATATAAATACTACTCTGGATTCTGAGACACTTACAGGACCAGAATCCTTTATCTGCAGTTCGAAATCAAAAAAGTTCTGAAAAACCAAGAGATTTTGTTGGTCTGAGCCAAAACTCATTTGGAGGAAAACATAACCTGAACTGATGTTAGCTAATTTACTTACATACTTTATTTATATAGTTAAAATAATCAGACATTTCACTGAGAAATATTAGTGTTTGGAGATGCTACTCCAGACCCCCAAAAGCTGAACTTTTTAATATACACTGAACTACTTTTCTAAAATCTGAAAAATTCTAAATTCCAAGTCTATTTGGCTCTGGAGTTCTGAATAAAATATTGCATATTTATATATTCCCTTTGAAAGACTAGACAGAAGCTATGATCAATAATGGAAGCAGAATTCAGTTGAGTCACCAATTTAAGTAACACATACTTTTCAATGTTTACTATGAAGGAAAATAGGATTAGAATATAAGCATAAACTTTAGATTTTTCTAAAAAATCTAAATTATTGACAAAGAAAATGAAAATATATTTTGAAACATTTTTTTTTAAAGCTTAAGATTTGGAACTTACCCTTTCACTTTTCACAGAACCAGTGACATCGTCGTCATTTAGGTGGCGCTTGAACTTGGGAGGCATATTTTTTACTCTAGAAGTATTCTTCTACTTCCCAGCAGAATAAGTATTCACCACCTTAAAGGGAAAACAGATTCCATCAGGTCGGAACTTCAGACGGAAGGTAAGGCCGTAGGCAGAGCACGAAGCCCTGTGTGCTGGGGCCTCCTTCACGTCTCTGACTCTGACTACTCCCTCCTCACTTGCTCCACTGCAGGGTCCCTGGCCTCTGTGCTAGGTCTCAGGGCATAAAAATAGTTAAAACCACGAGAAAAATGGATGTAACTTTCTTAGAAGAACATGTGGAGGAAATCAGTGACAAAGAATTTATAAAACAAGAGAAGACTGTACAGGAGGAGGGAAAAGTAGGAGGGACCTTCCTGAAAATGAGACATTAAATGCTTTAGGATTTTAACTTGAAGTGAGAAGACAATGGAACACTTCCAGGTCTCAGATTTAGCTGCTTGGACAGTGATTCAGTTTCCTCATCTGAAAAATAGAGCTTTCTAGGCTTTTGCATCACTTTCTAGTTAGGATGGTCTAATCGGATACAACTGCAAAAACATTCTGTACACTGTAACAGTTTGTTCTAAAGCATAGCACTGGGTATTCCAAGAAAAGGGATGTTAAGTACTGTTCAACAAAACCAGTTTTTTTATTTTTTGCTACAGAAAGTCTCAAAGCCTTTTATGTGCTAATATGCATTGTGCTTTTCCAGGAAAATGCTTGAGTATGCAACAGACTCAATTTTCTTGAGAAAAAGCTGACTTATGCAAATATGAGTTTTCAGTAGCTTGGTCTAGAAGATGGATGAATAATGAGAATGGCTAACATGTGCCCGATGTTTTGCTACGCGCTAGGCACTGTGCTCAGTGACTTACATGCATTTTCTTTTAATCCTCTGAAGTCGGCACTAGAAAACTTAAGAGAAAGATAAGGCTGAATAAAGATAAGCAACTTACAGCGTTAGTCACTCTGCTCATAGAAAGAGCAGAAACACAGGCCTTAAAGTTAATCAATGGCTGCGCATGATCAGTTGTAATATTTATTTCAATTAGTTGCCTTTCGGGTTATATCATTCTGTTCTAGAAAGACCACTTTCCTATAATAATCCAGCAGTCCTCTTTCCCCTTGCACAAGAAACTGAAGACAATCTTTAAATTAGTCAGTCTGTTGGTTGTTATACACTAAATAAATAAGTAAACAAGCCCAGAGTCCAGTTTCATAAACCAAATAAAAGTTATATTTTTAAGTTGGCTTCTTGTCAAAACAAACTGATAGGCACTTTCCTTTGATAAGAAATGCTTCCCGACTAGAAATATAACCACGTGTAACAAAAACCAAATTCTTGCCACCTGAGTAGCAGCTCTAGCTTTCTGCATTTCACAATTTGTCATGTACATCTGGCCCATTTTATTCTTCATACTTTCAGAGTAATTCATTCACGCACAAATGTTACAGAATGCATGGAAAAACAAATGACAATAGACACAATTGAAGAACTTGAGCTTTTAATTATATTTGTATTTCTGTTTACATGTTAAACCCTACGAAGGGGCTGCCTCAACACCCCAAAGCAAATAATAGGCAAACTTACACAACATCTTTATGAAATATAAAGTTAAGCTACAAGATTAATGATGAGCAAACCCATATTCTGGTCCCATAATCCAAGGATCAGCTTCCTAAAGGCAAGAAACCAGCGTCCGACAAACAGAAAAGCCATGGGCAAACAGTAGGAAGATTAACTACGCAGATTAATCACGAACCACAGGGCGACTGATATTTGTACCAAACAACTCAGAAATAAACCCCACTCAGAAATTAGGCTTATACAGAGTCTACCTAAGATTTCTCCCGCGAAAAAGTACATATGCATTCAGGTGTTTGTGTCTAGGTATATATGTAAATAAATCTTCATGATGCATTTCAACACGGTTCACTTAAAAAATGTCATCACCGTATGCTTCCTATGCCATCCGCATACGTTCACACTTTAATGTATGTATTTTTTGAAGAGGCAGCGCGTTCTCTGTTCAGTGGCTTTACACATACACTTCTAATCTGTTGTTTAATAAATGCTGGCTTTTCACTTTACGCAAAAAGCTAACAAAACACCCTACGTGTTTCGCTCCGCAAACGCTTGACTGTGGGCAGCGGGCTCCTCGTCCCCGTGCCCCGTCAGCAGGCGCGGCGGGCGCCTCGGGAGAGGCG